ATGCCCATCAGACTGAGCTTAGATTCGATTTTCAACTTGTACCACTCCTTTTATAATCTGTGCACGCCTTGTGTTGTATCACCTTTACTCAATCCACAACCTTGTTCATGTTCCCCATTTTCGTATTGTTCTGAAGATGGAATTCGATGAATCAGCGGAAACCCCGGTCATTGATCGTTTTGCGCCGCTTATCGCACTCGAGGTTCTCGGTTCGCCCCTTCGTCACTGATTGTTTCTGTGCTGGCCTTCGGGTGGCCCTTTGGTCAACATCCTGATCAAGGCAAGCTGTCGGATGAGACGACGAGGCAGCTGTTTGCTGAAGCGCTACGGTCGTTGCGTGCGCAGGATTTTCCTCAAGCAGATCGGCTTTTTCACAGTGTGTTGCTGCCACCCTATACACGTCTCACCCAAGTGGCATCATCACCGAGTCTGACAATGTGGAGCAGCGAGCAAGAGTGTATTCGGAGATGGCGAACGTCAATTTGGCAATGGGCAGGCACGCCGAGGCCGAACGTTTAATCAAGCAGACTATTCAAGATGTCACGGCTCGTGGGATTCCGTTGGATAGTTCAATGGTTGTTGAATTGCCTCTCAAGCTGGCTATCATCTATCAGCACCTGGAAATGCCGAAGGAGGCTTCTGTGGGGTTTCAACTACTGCATAAACCCCTCAGGAGGACAACAAACTTCGGCGACCGCTGGATCCGAGACAGAAGTTCGAGGAGCTGGCCTTGTTAGGCATGTCCCACAACTACTTCGCCAAGTTCGTTTTATGGCATCTCATCCCCCATGCTTCCCAGTATTACGGGCTGCACCTGAACCATTATCACTAATTCCCAGCAGGCCGCATCATTCCCACTCCTTAACCGTAGACGACGTCCAAATTCCCGGTTCACACTTCTTTGTTCTCCTATTTGAGCTTCCCGCACCGAGCACGGAGTTTTGCCTTACACCAAGTTGATCCGACTTTTCCAGACTGCTTGCAAAAGTAAAACACTACTGATTTCAGTTTCCGAAACACAACTGAACGTTGACTTGAAGGATATTCTTACTATTTCCACGTGCATCTGATACGTATCAATCGACGCGTATGAATCATATATTAGGATTGCGGCGCCTATAGCTCTTCATTGTTTAATTCCTGTAGCTAAGTCGGTTCAAGTGACTCACGCCGTTTGTTTGATTTCCGGTAGCGCGTCGTTATTCGCCTTTGTTTATAGTGTAGTGTGAACCACGGTGGGGGCGCACAGTCTTTATTGCCAACGCTCAACGGGTTCACCTGTTAGCACCCGGGCGCGCACTTAAAGAGGACAGTTCCCGACCACCACGCAGCACACATTGTCCTTTCTTTCGACATCGCATTCATGCCCCGACCTTCGTCATCCGCTATGTCGGTGTTCGCCGATTTAACCTCGTATTTTCGCTTCCGCACGTCCTATTCTGACCAGGCTGGATACGTTCTAATGCTACTGACTTGCATAATTGGGCTTGCGTCGCTCACCTCGTGGTTATTCCTGGAGGCGCGGCCAAACGCGTATCTCTCCGGAAATTCGGACAGTTCACCAATACCTTCCCCGCTTTTCTCAGTCTGGGCCTAACATCGTTTGTCTTTTGTTGCCTCTTTCCGGCTTTCCCCGTAGGCCTCAAGCTGCTTTGTCGACTTCTGTCCCCGGTGTCATCGTTACTTTTCACCT